AGGTGAGACTTATTTTTTTTCGTATAACTTTTTGACCCTAGTATTTTCTAGAAGAATTGGCTCTAGAATGATTTCCTACATATCAAGAAATCAATTGTATACTAGAATAGCTTCTAATCCTTTACTGATCCTGATCCTTAGAGTTGATAAGATTAATAAATTATACAATCTTAATAGAGACGCTTTAAGAATCTTATAAACATCATTGGAGGAATTATGTAAAAACATTTTTAACATTCCCATTTTAGCTAAAATTGTTGAAGAAATTTTAGATCAATATATCTTTAGTTCTATACACGAACCACTTTTTCTCACACTACCTTTACTTAATAATAATAATGCAATTGATATTGGCAAAGTTATGAATCTATTTAATAATGAATATGTCTGTCTGCATTCATATTTTTGAATAAGTATTAGTGATATTGGTGGATATGTGAAAACATTAGAATATTACTACACATATTTTTCAGAAAAACTAAAATCAGAAATGATGACAGAAAAGAAGACAGCTGTTTATAACGTGAATATCAAGAAAATTATGAAAGATATCAAATGCAAAATTGTAAGAAAATATCTTCTTCATTTAAACTCATATTGGTTAATAATACCTCTTGCAAAAGTTATATTAGGTTTTTCAGTTCAAAAGAATGATGTAGTCGATCTTAACAAAAGATCAATAATATATTAGAAATTTAGTTTAATAGGAATTGTGAACCTGATTCTAATGGAATGAACTAAGGAATATCTTATTCAGTTACCTTATATGTGGGTATATGCAATCATTGAAAATTTCAAAGACTCTGAGATGATGTATTAGAAATCTATGTTAAAATATGATGAGCTGATGAATTAGCAGAATTTCAAAGATTTTAATATCAAATTCTGAGCATTATGCCTTAGTCTCTTTCATTTAATAGAATACGAGAAGATTAATTTGAAGATCCTTTGTAAAAATGCAGATTTCTCTCTTAGTTTTCTAGATGTTGAAGTTGACTTACCTCAAGAAGATATCAAATTGTATAAGTTATTACATCAATACCCAAGTATTATATTTTGCAGATTTTTTCTAACATAAAAAATCACATTAAACTCAAATCCTATTCTAATATAATATAGTTACTAAAACTTACGAGAATAATCAAGTGAAATATGCAAATATAACAGAAGTAAGAAAAGGTTATATCGGCCTTGATTTATTGAAGAATATTAATATTAGGAGTTATATTGATTGTGATTTCTTAATGCGTCTGGAACAGTAGGGCAAATTTGGGAGTTCTGAGGTCAAAATCGAAAAAAGATATCCAGAAAGATCCCAATCATAGGCCAGAAGCTCTTCTAGCTATATGAAT